ATGCGTCTGTCCTTCCATGTCTCGGCCACCTATTTCTGGAACTCCCTTCCTTCTGCCATACGAGATCTTCCCACCTTACCGTCATTTAGGACCGCCATAAGGGAATATCTCTCTAATAACTAAGCCATTTTCCTTCTCCTTCCTCACATCTTCCATCTCACTCAGTCCCACACCTCATTCTACCTTTTCATCCTTGACTTTATTAATCTCTTCAGCTTGCCTCCCTTGTTTCCTCTTAAATCGAGAGCCCTACGTATTTTCTATGCTGCAGCTTCAGCTGTCATATATAATGATATGTCACATTATTTACTGTATTACATTTTATGTTCTTGCTGTGTGTAATTGCTTGTTATTGCTAACGCTATTGTACTGTTTCTTATCCCAATTCTTTGCTACTTAATGTATTCTTGTTTTACTTTATTCTTTTCTTTCTGCTTATTCTTTGCTGACAAATTTTGTCAAACGTGTACTTTGTACAACATAATGTACAGTAATAAAATTAAATCAATCAATCAATCAATCAATCAATCAATCAATCAATCAATCAATCAATCAATCAATCAATCAATCAATCTCTCTCTCTCTCTCTCTCTCTCTCTCTCTCTCTCTCTCCCTCCCCTTGCTTTGGTTAATTGTTTATCTCACAGTTTTTATCTTGTCACTTAAGTTGCGTACCATTACAGTTTCCAGTAACGTCCGATTTTTAAAACTCTCTCGCTGTCTTTCTCTCTTCCCCCTCCTTCCCTCCTATGCCACTCTTTTATTTCTTCTTTTATTCATTGTTGATAGCGATGATATGTGTATAATACGTTGCGTTTTTTAAGATTTTGTTTTAGTTGAGTTATAATATATGTATATATTACTTACTTTTACACACACGCACACGCACACGCGCTTGCGCACGCCCAAGCGCACGCACACGCACATGTACACAGAGGGTGTCTGTAGAGTCTGACCAAACCCCTAGATCCTGAAAACGGCTTTTGATATGGAAAAATGTTTCAGATAAAACTTATAGGAAATTAATTTTACTATTATTTGCACCCTTCTAAATCCTATAATTTTTGTCTGAAACATTTAGAGATACCCAACACATACATATATACATATATCAGAAGCGGAAAATGTTGTCTTATTAATACAATATACAGGGTGTCAGATTCGATATGGACGACCCCAAAGATTATAGTAGATTGGGTTAAACTGAGAAGAAAAGTTATATAAAATTTTACAAAATCGTAATTATTATCGACCTAATTCAGAAAAACGTCTGAGCCAATAAGGCCGGACTCGGCAGCATGCAAAATGGTGTGTTTGTTGACATCTCTCAAAAAACGATAGCGAACGCGTTCGCCCGCTCACCGCTCCCCGCTCCCCGCTCGCCACCGTCTCTCATCGATCGATGCGTGACTCCACCTCTCGCTATCGATTTTTCAGAGATGTCAACAAACACACCATTTTGCATGCTGCCGAGTCCAGCCTTATTGGCTCAGACGTTTTTCTGAATTAGGCCGATAATAATTACGATTTTGTAAAATTTTATATAACTTTTCTTCTTAGTTTAACCCAATCTACTATAATCTTTGGGGTCGTCCATATCGAATCTGACACCCTGTATATGTATACTTTTTAAAAATAAAATAATAGTAAATGAAAATACTCATGTACCTTTATTTTTTGTATGACAACAAATTTTTATATTTTTTCAAATTTTGGAAATTACCTGTTTTGCCTTACAATACGTATAATAATTTTCAAAATCTGCAAAAAATATAAATATCTGCTTTATTCCTATCCAAATTGTAAATATAGGCCGGTATTCATAGTCGGATCTTACTTTAAGACAGTCCTAAATAATATCTTAAGATGCTAATACGGCTCTGTGATTGGTAGATGACAAAATAAGATATACTATAGTACTTACGACGATCTTCAATATAAGAATTAATCGACTATGAATACCAGCCATATAGGCACGGTCTTACATACAGGTCCGGAAGGTCAGGCCAAATTTTGGTGGTGGAGATAGGTCGAATTTTTAAGCCAATAAACGTTTGTCTCTTGGCCACGAGAGTCACTGCGGTAGGGTAGTAGACAGACACAGATATAGAAATCACGGGTTCTATATCTGTGTCTCTGTCTACTACCTTACCGCAGCGACTCTTGTGGCCAAAGACAAACGATTATTGGCTTAAAAATTCGACCTACCCCCACCATATAACTTTCCGGACCTGTAAGACCGTGGCCATAGGCATCGCGCGGGCGTTGAATGGATGCCCAACGGGCATCGGATGAATGTCCAATAGATGTCGAATGGATGCCCAACGGGCATCGGATGAATGTCCAATAGATGTCGAATGGATATCCATTGGGCGTCAAATGAGCGGCATTTGAGTGTTGACGAAATCTGAAGAGATCCGAAATATGCCCAAAGACCATCCATTTCGTGTCCCTATGTCCCCAAAATGGGCGCCCAATGGGCGTCAAATGAGCGGTCATTGGTGCATCCATTGCGCGCCCTTGGAGCGTCCATGGGACAGATTCGGGACAGGAAATGGGCGCCCAACCGGAGAGCTCGGGACGTCCTTTGGACGCCCAAGGGACGTCCATGTGTCGTGTGGGAAGTAATCTTCCAGAAGTCTCCTCTCGCGAGAGACTCCTAGAAGAGAAATTAGTTTGAACGTTCGATCTCGAACATTTTAATTACTTTTTTTCCTGCAATAGCGTCGCTACCACTTGTTGTTCGTCATTCGGCAATCTGCGTTTTCTAATTATGGTCACTCCATCATCTGCAAAATATATAATTAAAACCACTTAACTTTTTATATTTTAAATAATAATAATCAAAATTAATTTACCTAATAAAGGATAAAAATAATATGTTTGAGGATCGGTTATGTATTGTGTGTACCCTACGAGATAAGAATGATTTACGATCTCTGATTTCTCACAGATTGTTTCACATAGACCACACGTTTGTACTAAGGATTCGTCCTGAAAAATACATGAAATTTAATTAATATTACAAATTATTATATTTTATTTTATATTAATATTTATATTTACATTATACAAATATTTCTATTTATTTACTTCAACATTTATATTTTATTTATTTTTTATAAATATATTGTGTGCTTTAATTATAATATAATTTTTTAAATATTTCTAACCTCAAACCGCTAACCTCTTTAGCGAACAAAAATCTTTAGAAATTATATTTCTTATATAACTCTATATACCATGTATATATTATTACTTAAAAATACTACTCTAAAATATTTTACATACTTCAAAGTCCATTTTCGTATTAAGATTAGTTAACTACGATTCAGCGACGACGCTGGATATTGAACAAATCCAACTTTATTTCTTTGACGCTAGCGACAAGGTGAAATCACGTGACACTCCTTGACGTTCATTTTCAGCGTCTCATGAATTTGCACCTTTAATACGGTATCATACGGTATCCAGTGAAATTGTTGAAAAATAAGAACTGTGGTACCAAAAAAAGTGTTTCGGACGTTCATATATAAAGTGCTGCAAGTTTTAGAAATAAATTTGTTGAAGAGACAATGGAATTTTCTCCTCAGCACAGAAAAAAAATAGCCGGAGGAAGTTGCTGCGTGAAAACTTGTGCCTCCAAAAAATATAACAACGTTAATTTAAGTTTCCACAGAATTCCAAGATATGGAAGTGCTAAAATTGCAAGAACCAATTTATTTGGCAATGTGGAATTTGTGGATAAACGTTCAGAATAGTTAAGAAAATTAAATGTTACTGATGATAAGAAGGAGCAATTAGTTTGTTCATTGCATTTTACTGCAAGGGACTATTATTTTCCAGGTAGATACATAAAATAAATTAATAATTTATTTATTAATATTAATAAACAATTGCCTCGGCAGATTATACACAGAGAGAAAGGATTCTTTGGATTTAGTATTTCTATTTATTTGGTTGAGATTTGTTTCGTTGAAGCAACATATGCTTATACGAAACATTATAACGTTTGAATACAAATTTTGTTGTTTCATTCAAACAACCTGTATTATTTAATCGAAAGAACACTATTATTTGAAGTAATATCTTTCAACGAAATAATATATTATTTCCCTCACAGCACCGAACATTGCAATAAGATTATAGGGAGATTACAACCTTATATGCTTAATAATGAATGTTACTGGTATATGCTACTAACCTTACAATATGATCTTACATTATAATATTGTCAGAAGATTAATGAAATCTTATTTCAATATTTCAGTAATCTTACGTGCTCATCTCATTTTTCGCATATGCTGAAAAATAATTACACAAAATTATTTATAATGATCATGTTACTGGTATACATATCACTAACCTTACAACAATCTTATGTTATAATATTGTCGGTAGATTAATGAAACCTTATTTAAATATTTCAGTAACCTTACACGCAATTATCTCATTTTTCGCGTACATTAAAAATACATATTACAAAACTATTGTATAAAATATCTTTTAAAATATTAATTGCTGTTTGCACATTTTCATACTTGCAAAATTATTTATTTATTTAAAAATTTAATTATATTGAATTATAAAAATAAAATATTTGATATATTATAAGATTAATATTTTTTTCTGTTATTTATGTTTCATAAATTTTCAATCTTTTATAAGCGTCATATTTATAATTATTTTATATTTATTTGCAAAAATATCTATTTTGTTATTTAAATTATGCGCCAATAATTCTTAAGCGCGCCATTACGGTCACTGAACTACTTCCTATTTCCTTTACTAAACGTGATGATTTTGCCGGGCAAAGCCACGTGTTGAGGAAAAAATAGTGCTAGGTCAATGGATATAGATGAATGTAATGAAGAAATTACTACAGAAATAAGAAATATAGATGAAGTTGCTTACATACCACCAAATCAAGACAATTTAAATGACAACTTATTGCAGCCAAATGCAATTGAACATAATGTATTATTACACGAGTCCTTAGAAGCAATAAGTACAGATAATAATAATGTTTATTCTGAAACAATGAATGATGAGTCTTCAGGTGAAAATAAAAATACAAATTTCAAACAATCTGTAGCTGCGTGGGCAATAAAATATGGAATCACACACTCTGCGCTGACACCGCTGTTGAAAATTTTAAATACTTATACTAATACAAAATTTCCAAAGGACCCTAGAACTCTTTTACGAACTCCTAGAAATACTACTGACGTTATTCAAATGGGCAATGGTCAATATTATCACTTTGATATTAAAAGTATTGTGGAAAAAATTATAATGGACATAAGAAAAAGTGGTAAAACAATTTGTAAACTAGATTTGTTAATAAATATTGATGGCATGACTATATCTCGATCCTCAAACGGTTGTTTTTGGCCTATCCTTGTATCGGAAAATCTGTGTAGTAAAGTATATATTGCTGGACTGTATTATGGATATACAAAACCAAACGATCCCAATGAATTTTTAAAAAGATTTGTATCAGATATAAAGCCATTTGTAACAACAGGATTCATTGACAACGAAATAACAGTAAAAGTAAATTTAACTGCATTGATTTGCGATACACCAGCAAAATCATTTGTTCTTTCGGTAAAAAGTCATACAGGGTTCTCTAGCTGTACAAAATGTATCATAAGAGGCGAATGGCGTGGACGTGTATGTTTTCCCGGAGTAAATAAAAAGAGCTTACGTACTGATCCAGAACTAGCAGATAATAAATACATGGGTGAATATCAACAAGGAGAATGCGTGTTAAAGGAAATTGACAATTTTGGATTAGTTTCTTGTGTGCCACTTGATTACATGCATTTAGTATGTTTAGGGGTAATGCGAAAATTAATAAGTTTATGGTTGAAACATGTATTTCCAAAAAGAATAGCCAACACCTTCTGTAAACGAATATCTCGATTGCTCAAAAATATAAGATCAACAGTTCCATTAGAATTTAATAGAAGACCTAGATCTCTGAAAGATTATAAACAGTGGAAAGCTACAGAATTTAGAACTTTTCTTTTATATTTAGGGCCTATTGTTTTAAAAGATATGTTAGACAGAGATATGTATAATAATTTTTTAACGCTTCACATTGCTATTTCAATATTATGTAATCAAACTTTTTGTAAGGAAAATTATTATTTAGATTATGCTGAAAATTTATTGAAACACTTTGTTGATTCTTTTGCAAAATTATATGGTAAAGCACATGTATCTCACAATATACATAATCTACTACATCTTGTTGCAGACGTAAGAAAATTCGGAATATTAGATAACTTTAGCTGTTTCAGATTTGAAAATTATATGTCAACAATTAAAAAACTATTAAGAAAAGGAGACAAACCATTACAACAAATTTCAAAAAGATTTGGTGAAATTGAAAATATAAATAAAAAATTTGAAGAAAACACTCTGAATTATGAAATAAGAGGTTCTGAATTATATTTAGAGAATAAACATTTTGATGGCCCTTTACAAAATAATATTAAGAATATTAAAAATCAATACAAAATATTACGCAATTCATTATATACAATCCGCTGTAATGACAAAAGAAATAATTACTGTATATTAGAAACTGGAGAGTACGTAAAAATAGAAAATATTATTCAGTGTGAAGATAAAACTATATTAGTGATTGGGAAAAAACTATTAAACGTAAAAGTTTTATATGATGTACCTATTCAGTCTTCACTGTTACAAATAAATATTGTAAATGAAAATTATGAAAATCAAATTTTAAATGCTTGGAACATAAATTGTATAGCAGCAAAAGCTTGGAAAATTCCGTATAACGAACAGTTTATTATATGTCCCTTAATACATACATATAAAAATTAATGCATATACCTAATAATATATAACGTATGTATAATGCAGGATTCACACTATGTCCTATATCTGATGTATGACATCCAATACCAATAAGAAAATTTGATTTCTACAGACTCTACTCTAGAAATCAATCTTTCTTATTAGATATCAAATGTCGTACGTCGGATATCGGACGCAGTGTGAATCCTGCAAAACAGTTATAATGCGAATAAGAATGCTACCGACAACACGACCGAGATTTTGAAATTGAGAATCCTCACCATACGGAGAAAGTTCTTGATTAGACAGTCTTGCTCGCATTTCCGGTAATAAATTTCCGGCTCTTATCCGCGCTTTAGTTATAAAATATATAAATTATAAATATGCGAGTACATGCATGTATAATTATATAGAATAAGTTCGAAGAATAGTTATAATTATTATTTACAATCCCGTTTGTTTATTTCTATAAAATAAAATTATATTTGGTTTATTCTAATCTTCTATAATCTATATTAACGAGATCCTACCTTTAGCAAACTCTACTTTAAGCGGAACTTATGGCTACCTCGAAGAGCTCGAAGATCTACATTATCGTAAAATTTGATGATGGCCTGGCAATTGTACCTTCATGTTGGTTAAACGAGAGTGAAATGAAATGTGCTTCTCCCACTTTTCGGAATCCAACAAAAATAAAAAAGGCTGTTGCGTCACAATTACTTCCTGAAGATAACTTGAACTGGAAAAAATATAACGTGTTAAGGATCTTCTATAGAGCAGGTTACATTTATTATTAAAAAATTCGATTATGTTCATTATTTTCATTATTTATAAATATATCCAATTTAAATATCCTTTTTATGTCTATCTATATTTTCAGATTCATACGAAAGAGCAAAGGAGAAGCTACTTATTGCTGAAAATATGTCAGATTTTACGCCTGACGACAACACAGAAAATGAAGACAGAAGATACGACAAAGAAAAAAAATCAAGACATACACGAGCTAAAAAAAATTATTCTTCGTCGGAGGAGTGTGGATTCGATTCTGACGTTAGTGAGAACACAATAAAATTATCACCCTTTCCGAAAATTGCAGACAAATCATGTGTCACAAACACTAAAAAGATTTCTGCAAGTCAATTGGTTTCACCGTCACCAACATCCGTAGAACGTTCATCTGAGTGCCAAATGAGTTCTGCTAAACATAATAAAAGTTTATATAAAGAAACGACAATAAATAGCAACACAACAGAACGGAGATATCGTGATAATTTACTAGATGAAAATGACAACTTGGAAAAGACTAAAAAAGATAAAAATGTAATGTATACCGGAAATAAAAAAAACTTGTTAATAACTGCAGAAAATGGTTAGTATTAAAAAAATTTTTTTTTA